AATCAAGGACCCGAAGCATTGTTGGAAAGTTCGTACCACAATTTGAGTTACCAAACAGTTTCCGAATTTGATGAGCTTATATTCAAATCGAGCGGCTTGACGAGATGAATCCAACGAGCCCAAGATCTCCAAATTCCGAAGTCATTAAGACCCTAAAATGCCTGATAAACGGTCTATGATCGAAGGATTCAATATCTGCCGTCCATCCGAACCACTCCATTTTTTGCCCCTGATCCCTCTTCTATTTACGGGCCATGCCACTCCAGAAAATCTATAAATTGACCCCTCATTTCCTCTTGAGAGGGCACCCAAGCTAGAAAGGGAGAAGATAAAAAGAAGAAGAGAAGAGAAGGATAGGAGGGAATAACTCCTCCTCGACCATCGCCGGAGTTCTGCCCGACATCAGAATTATGTCGAACGCCCGAGTGACGCCGAAATTCTACCGGACGCCCAAGCGACGCCAAAATTCTGCCTAACCTCCGAACAACGCTAGAATTCTGTCCAACTTCCGAACGACGCCAGAGTTCTGCCCGATGCCAGAATTCAGCTCGATCTCCAAGTGACGCCGGAACTCTGCTTGACATTGTAATTGGATCTCAATCCAGAATTGAAGCATTGTAAACTGATCGTCCTAAATTTTAAGGACGAATCAACATCTTGTACTTCAAACAAATACTAGTGGAATTATTCCAACTGAGCGTGGCCCCGTGGTTTTTTCTCTTTCCAGGGTTTTCCATGTAAAAATCATGGTGTTATTTTATCTTCTGTTTGTGTGCAGAATATTCGTGCAATGCTAAGATGAATACTTTCTAACTCTACCGCCGCGCATATTCTAGTCTGCAACAATGATATATATGCTACTAACTTTAGAAATCTAATACTCGTGTGTTCAGGAGTAATTAAATAAATGCAACTTTCTATAATGCATAATCATAATTTTAGAGATGGGTTATCTATTAATCGTGATAAAGTTAAAATGATTTATAATTGACCAACCAACTAAGATTTGTGAGATTAGAAGTTTTTATGGTAGATGCTTATTAAAAAAAAATTATTGGTTTGCTGATACCAATTACAAATATTTTTAAAAATAGGATTTTAAATTTAAATGTATAAAATATGTTGATTAGGGGTGTCAAAATGGGTTGACATGTTGGGTTCGAGTTCGACCTGAAATTGACTCGACTTGAGTCCAATCAACTCGAACCCGACCCGTTTAAAACGGGTCAAAAAGATCAATCTGAACTCGACCTGCTAGTAACCTAAATGGCTTGTTAACCCGACTCGTTAACCAATTTTGTTAAATTTATTTATTTTTATAACCTATTAACTATTAAATTTAGGATAGTTGATAAAAAATAAAAAAAAAAAGATTATACCCACAAGTAAAAAAGTTGAAGGGAAAAAGATATTAAATGGGTTAAAAGCGGGTTCACGGGTCGAACCGAACCCAACTTGTTTAATAAATGGGTCGGAAAACCCAATCCGAACCCGACCTATTTATTAAACGAGTCAACCCTAACTCGGATGTTTCGGATCGGCGAGCTTTTACTAAAATTAAATAAAGGCTTTCAAATGCACTTGTGTTTAAATTTCTTTATTCTGATCAAGTACAATCATACATGTAATCTTACAATTTTCGATATGATTAGGTTGGAATTATGTGGTACACAATGTATTGAATTATGATGTGATCAACTGGCATATGTATGCATGATTGCACTTTTTGGAGTTGTCAGATTTTCATTTTATGGAGCTATTGTTTTGTGCGGACACTAGACGATTTTTCCGTCGTGTAACGTACAATTTGGCTCATTTTTATTGGTCTCCGGACGTCGTCCGGACTCTGCACAGAATAATAAATCCATTTTATGAATGATTTTATCCGTATTTATTGGCACATTATAGTATTTTATGCATTTTTTTATATTTTATGGGCCATTTATTAATTTGGGCATCAATTACTTTTGTGACTTTTGCTTTTACTAAAAATTAAAAAAAAAGTTAAGTTGACTAAGTTATCCTCCCATGATTCTTTTTTCTCATTCTCCATGCCTTCTCCCCTCCATTGAACTGTGAGAGACAAGTTAGAAAGAAGTTGAGGGGAATAGAGAGGGAGGATGGGGAGATATCGGATTTGAAGGCCTTGGCAGTTTGATTCACGCATTAAGCCAACTGAGGAAATTGATTTACTCAAGGTAGGACACTATTCCCCTACCTTAAATTTTAATAAATGTTGTATTTAACACAAGTTGTTGTAGTATTCTTTCATGGGATTGCTATGCAATGTTCCATCGAATTTCATTGACTATATACACTTTGATTTATAACATATATCTACTCATATAATCCTACATAGCACTACGTGTGTATGACTAGATTTGGCAAAGCTTCCATCATATGTCATGCTTTCTTTACTATTTAAGATGAAACATCAGAATTATGTGGTAATTGTTCAATATTTAACATGCAAAATTGACACCATAGTGAAACCATCGAGCTTCTAAGCCATGAATGTTATTACACCTATTGTGATGTATTCTATGGCCCCAACACACTATTTATTATTCTATCTCAGTTCCTACATACTTGCATAGGCATAATGCATATCATTCAATAATTTTGCATATATTGTTACTTTTGATTACATGGTTTAATGTCAAGTTATTTGGTGTTTTAAATTCTATTCTTTATGAGTATTTTTGGTTATTTATATAATATGACACCATATTTTGCAATTCACACTATCATCGTATGTGTTGTCACTATATAAAACTTGTGTATATTTTGTCATCCAATGATTTGTGTTATCATTAACTAATTCTATTATTTAGTACATGGTATTTGTTGCATACTAAACATGGGACTATCTTTTTTATGTAATCCTGAATGTGCATGTGGTGCCGAATATAACTAACTGACAAATTCTTCTATACTTTTGATAATCTGGCTTAAAGTATATGAAGCTTATTTTGTCCATCAGATATGATGTAATAGATGAGGTTCATACATACATTTTATTGTGTTTTTTGTTAGTACTATAAGTTGCATCATTTAACATTACACAAGTTAATTTATATTCTGCTATGCACATGTTAATTCATATTATCCGTTCTATTATCGGTTTGCTATATGATTTGTGTGATTTTTAAGAATGTTGGGTATATAAGTAGGGGTGTCAATTTTTGACCCGACCCGGAAAAATTTGAGTTTGGATCAACCCGGACCCGAAACGGGTCGGGTTCGGGTTCAACAAATCAACCCGTTTTAAAAATCAGGTTGGGTTCGGGTTGACCCAACAACCCGAAATAAACACGAAAATGACCCGAATTTGACACGAAAACTCGAAGTTGACCCAAAAACCCAAGATTGACCCGAAAATCGAAGACTGGCCCGATTTTGACCCGAAAACTAGCAATTTTGGGTCAACCCCAGATCATTCATGTCGGGTCGGGTTCGAGTCCGAAAACCTGACCCATTTTTAAAACCGGGTCGGGTTCAAGTTAACCCGAATAGTTTCTAGTTCGACCCAAACCCGACCCGTTGACCCGAATTGGCACCCATATATATAAGAGAATGTTGGTTGGGTTTGCTCTATTTCCTATGTGAAAGAGTCTGCCAATCGGCTTTCATTCAAATACTTAGGAATTTGGTGCTGCTTCTGTTTTGTTGATGGATTAGGGATGGTGATTTATTATATTTTCATCTGAGATTCTTATATAAATATCTAAAAATAATAATAGCATATGAGAATTGTTGATATCATCTGGCTAGAAAAATATCTTACCCGAAGGAAAGTTTGATGATAAATCATTTATATATTACAATGTTCTTATATCTGATATATTTATTATTCATTTACTTATTGTGACATTCTAAACTATGAGTAATCATGTATGTTTTACTATATTAGTATGTATGTTCTTCCTTGAAGAATTGACATCAAATTAAGCTTCTAATCCTGATTATACAACTGTAGATGTTAGACGCAACATACATAATTTTAGGTTTTGTTTGAGATAAATTTTTATTGTTTTTTAAAACAATTTTTTAGAACAAAAATTTTTATTTCAAAAAATTTTTTATATTAAAAAGCTTCTTTAAAAAAAAAGAAGAAGAAAAAAGCTTCTCCAAACGAAGCCTTAGTTACTCCTTAATATATGTCACTAGAATCAAGAACATGTTTCTTCTTCGCAATAGCCTAATAGATTTAAAGACATGTTATAAATTATGATCGTCATGCATTGTTGTTTTTTCTCATTTATTGAATTTTTTGTTGGGTTTAATGTGATATAATGGGCTTTATGCTTAACATTTATATCTATGTGTGTTGTTTATTGCAGAATAGTGAAATATATTGGGCTTTGTACTCATCTTATTATATCTATTTGTTGTTTTTTGTTTCACAAAATGAGAAAAATCTTTGGAGAAGGTGATCTAACATGATAATCAAGTATGTCAAGGATTGTGATTGTAGGAGTAATTTTGAGGATGATGATGAAAGTGTTGAGGATGTTTAATCTCCTCATTTATGAGCAATTTTGTATGATGATGTGTTACAAATCTTGACGTTTTAGGTTTCGTTTGAGATGGCTTTCTTAGTACATCATAAAGCAATTTTTTAGTACAAAAGTTTTAAGAAGCAATAAAAAGCTGTCCCAGACGAACCCTTAATGAACTTGTTATGTGAAGCTAAGAATTCATAGTATTAGAATAAATTAGATATAGGCTCTCGGATTTCGCATGTAGGCAACAGTATATGTGACACATTTATATTGATACAACTAATTGAATGTTGCTTAGAGATGTTCGTAAGAATACCCTCAATGTTGTCACCAATCAATCAATTGTAGCTTGAGTTAGCTATTAATTGATAGCTCAAACTTGTTATAGTAACTATTCTCATTTTTTTTTTCAAGATTGTGAGGCGTGAAGGATGAGGTATTACGAAACTTCGGCTTTGTTTTGTACTAAAAAGTTGCTTTAAGAAGCAGTAAGAAAGTTGTCATAAGCGAAGCCTTCATGTTTGAGAATCTCATCTGCGATCGGTGTATTTCCAATTTGCCTAATTTTGGCCAATTTGAAATATATCAAAAAAATATTTAGAGGACCTCCAAAAATCCAAATTTTATTTTATATTGGATTCACTTCTAACTAAATAAACAAAAAATCTTGAAATCCTACCTTTATAGAATTTAAAAATTATTATTTAAAAAAATTTAAAACAAGAGGGAGCCCAAAACTAATGGGACTTAAAAAAAAAAAAGGGTAAAAAATGGATTTTGAGACTGATCCATCTCTACAAATCTAAACCGCAGACAGATCTTCCTGATCTCGATCCGAACTGCGTCGCCGTTGATCGGAGGGCTTGAGACTGTCGGCGAGGGCGAGGGCCGCGGCAGCTAGGGCGACGCCAAGGGCATCGGCGGCGGCGTCTCGGACTGAGCCGCCGGCAGATTTCCAGAGGCCGATCTCGTCGCCGGCTTCCTTGGCTGCGCCAGCGGCGAGGGCAGTGACGGAGCCCAGCGCGACGCTCCGCCGGCGGATGAAGGAGCGGTGGCTCCGGCGGGCGAGGGTGGCGACGAGAACGCTGATGAAGAAGCAGGCAATCAAGTGCTCGAGTTTGTCGACGGCGAGCCACGGATCCCTTTCCTCCATCTTCCGTGCTTTGGGCCTTGGGGCTAGAAGAAGAGACAACTAGGTTTCCTAGTGCGTTATTGATCGGGTTATTGGCGTTGCCAACCTCATAACTTTTTAAATTCAATAATTTAAACGTAAAATCATGAAAAATATTATCAAAATCATCTCTCTTTTTTTCTACTTAATTCTTATTATTTTTCTACAATTTTTTTTTTATTTTCATTTTATTAAAATAGTTTGTTGAGTTAAAATAATCTTATTTGTTTAATAACAAATGTGTTGGCTAATAAGATAATTTAAACTTATATTATTATTGTCGAGCTCGAGCTCAAATTTGATTGATTAGTAATAATCAAGAATGAGAAGTCTAATTTCAATTAGAAGTTTATTTTTTTATTTAATAAAATAATCTTTGTGAACAGTGCGACACCACAATGTCACGGGAACTCGCATTCTGTTTGAGCTAAAGGCCGACGACAAACATTTGTTTCGTGTTTGGTCGGGATGGCCTAAATAGTAAATACTAATGGAAGAAAAAATTTAGAATATTAAATTTTTGAGGAAGTTTGTTGAAAAAATAATTTTAAATAAATTGTATCGAGTTTGATTTATTTGAAGCCATATGTACAAGACCAATAATACAATATTAACCTCTAATTTTTAGAATAATATTGATCTAGTTGTTTCATTCAGCTAATTAAATAAGATGAGTTATCAAGTTATGTGATTGATGTTATTTAATGAGGATGATTCAATGAATTTTTTTTTAGATTCATCGTGAATTTGATATATCTAGGACATAATTTCTCTCGCAACAGTTTAGATGATAATTTCAATTTTAATTATTAAACAATCAATTCAAATTTATTCGACGAATGATATCCGACTTTACTAGTAGATCCGTCTAGTGAGCCACAATGAGAATGAGAAGTAGATAGAGTAGAGTGGAAGAGAGTAAGTTGACAAAATTTTCACTATCTAAATTAGGACTATAAACAAGCCTAGTCTAGTTCGAGTAGTACCTAACTCGAGTTTGACTCGTTAGCCAAATCGAGAGCTTAAACTCGAGTTGAGCTCAAAAGTCAACTTGCAGCTTGGCTCATGGCAATATAAACGGGCTCGCAAGTAGAAGAAGTAGGCATGTCCTCGCGGCATATTTGGCCAAGAAGAAGAACGAGTTCTGGGTGTTGCATGAGAAGGGTAGAACAAGACATAAGTAGCAATTTTTTTAATTTTTTAAAACTGATCATTTGTTATATTTTTTTAAAAATGGCTATAAGTCTCGTTAATGCATAGCAGCTTTTTCTTAGAAAGATAAAGATCTTTTGAAATCCTAACTAATTTTTTTGGGAGTAGAAGTATGTTTCAAATTTTATTGGTGTAAATTAAAAACAAGCTCATGAGCTCATTAGTCGAACCTCATCAAATTCGAACTCAAGCTAGTTTAATAAATGAGCTCGAGTTTTAGCTGGAGCTCGAGCTTGCTGCTCAATAAGCTCAGCTCGTGAGCTCACGAGTCACCTGACTTTGCTCAACCACACTCTTAATCTCAATCATGAAATATAAGAAATAAGACTCGTGCGCCTCTTTCTTCTATTCAACTAATTAAACAAGATGAGTTATCAAATTGTGTGATTGATGTTATTTATTGATTATGGGTTGATGAAAATATTTGAGATATGGCTATCTGTAAATCATATCTTTCACAGCCATTTAGACGATAGTTTTTAACAGCCATCCACTTTGTTACATCTTATTTCATAACAAATCACAATACAAAGCAATATGCGCCAATATACAAATAAATTTGTGTCGGGACAATGACGCCATTTTAAATATCAACTTAGGCTTTGTTTGTTTGAGCGTTTTTTTGCCTTCTCCGTTTTCGGAAACGGAGGATTTTTTTTTTTTTTTTTCCTAAAACGGAGGAATTTTTTTTTGTGTTGTTTGGTTCGTCAAATCACGTTCTCAATAACTCCTTTTTTTCATTTTTCTGCAGTTTTGAGAAAGCTTTTTATATGTGCTTCTCCGTTAGAAAACTCCATTTTCTGAACTAATGTTTTTTAAAACTGTTTTTTATTAAAGCATAAAAAAAAAAAACAAACGAAGCCTTAGACTTCGTTCAAACGGCTTTCTTAATCTTTCTTATAGCAGTTTTTTTATATACAAATTTTAATGTTTTACTAAAAGAAATTGCTTTAAAAAGCATTAAAAATTCCGTCCCAAACAAGCCTTTACTCTCGATTGATTGAATGATTTATTTAAACACTGTGCTGACACAGTTATTTTTCGCTGGCTACCTTAGCCAAATCTGAGTCATTTACCACAGCGGCTGTAACTGGATGTTGGGAAATTTTCATATGTGGACCAACATATTTACATATATAATAAAGAATTATACATTATACGTTATCTAAAATTAAGCCAATTAAATTCGTCATCTATTTAAGTATTAAATTATTATTTGACTTATGTGACATCTCAATTAAATTTTGTATGGAATTAATTTGTGTAGAGGCCGGATATTTATTTTATTTTAATGATGAGCTGAAATAAAATATTTACACTTAAAGTATAAAAGGGTCGTGGTCCCCAGTTTAAGCGGTTAAGTTCTCATTTCCCATCTTGAGTGAAAATAAGAGGTATCTTGCTCTCTCGGAGAACACCGCTCTAAACGTGGAAGATCGAAAACCTTAAATCTGCATTTCAATGGATTCGGGTACGCTTCCGAAAATTCTTCTTGATGATTTGGCATGTGTTTCAGAGACTATTAAATTCCTTTTTTTGTCTCCGTTAAATCCTAACACTGGAAGCAACTCACGGAACAACTTGACAAAGCAATCCATCTTCTTCATCTCCATGGAACAGCAAACCTTGACGCCGGCGTTGGAGCTTTACAAAATAAGGAACTGTCGTGGGCAGATGAGGCTTGCGGGTCCCATGAACTCCGGAGGGCCCCACCCGAAGTCCACCTCGTACAACGGCAGCCTATTCCAGCTTACCACCGATATATCCGTCATAGTGAAGTTCCTCGCAGATCTGGTGGAGGGCAGTGCCGAGGCAGAGACCGCCGCATTTGAACGTGGTGAGCTGGACCATGAGTATCATAATACTATCATCATAGTTCTCCAAGGCGTTGAGCCCGGTCTCCCACCATTCAACTATGGTCTTGCTTGAAAGTGCTCAGAAGACACTAGAAAGTGCTCTGATACGACTTGAAAGTTCGTTAGGGATGTTAAGCCCTATAGAACTGGCCCAAGCTAACCAAGAGGGGGGGGGGGGTGAATTTGTATTTTAAAAATCTTTTCAACAAAAGCACAATTTCATAAATCAAATGACACCACAAGAAGAACAAGTGTGGAATTTAAAATGCGGAAGCGATAAAACAAGAACACAAAAATTTATAGCGGTTCGGTCAACTTGACCTACGTACATTCCTTGGAGGCACCCTCCAAGTATTGCACTACAAAACGTGTCTCTCATTTAGCTCCCACAGCTAGGTGGAGAAGCCCTCACAAAGACGTCATTTTTTCCACCCCGGCAAGGCGGAGAACCTATCTCCTTTTGCTTCCTCCTGAAGCTAGCAGAGAACCACAATCAGATGCTGAAAACCTTACCTCTATCGACCCTTCCACGGACGAGAAACTCTAGACGAAGAAGAAGCAGAGCGATCCTTGAAGCACCATTGTGAACCCCCTCACAAGCTTCCCCTCACAAGATCCTCTCTCTCTCTCTCTCTCACCCCCCAAGGTCTTCTCAGGTCAAGGCAGCAGCAAAAGATTGTTCAAAAACGAATTTCAATAGCCCTTATAAAGAAGAGCTCAAAATAGCTCATTAATTGCAATTTGCCGACCTTATCGTCCAGGACGATCTATACATCATCCTGGCCGATTAGTACAAAGTTCTGAAGATCGGCCAACACACCGTTCTGAATTTGAGCCAGACGATGGTAAAATTGGTCTGATCGTCCAGGCCGATCAGTTCAAATCAGCACAATATCGTCCAGTGCATTGCCCTGAATTGGTGCTGCTCGATCCATATCGGCCAGTGCATCGTCCTGAAATGGATTTGGCCGATCCAAATCGTCCAGGGACAACTAAGGATTTTGAATAGATCGTCCTGGCCGATGTTTATATCGTCCAAGACGATATGATCGTATCAATTTTGTCCTTAATTGATCCCTTGATTACAGGTTTATTTTAGGCATAATTGTGTAATTTCGTCCAGGCCGATCCTAAGATCGTCCTGGCCGATTTCCAAAAATACAGTTTACCTAAAATAAATAAGGCGGCAAGTTCTTTATGTTTTGAGCTTATCGTCCTAGCCGATAAAATTATCGTCCAGGACGATCTGTTAATGACGGTTGCCTTAATCTAGAATCCTGTTTAGAATCTCTGTTTTGAACTAGATCGTCCAGACCGATCCAAAGATTGTCCTGGCCGATGTGAGCAAAAACAGACATTCTAAGTCTCTCAAGTGTGTGTGTAGTGTTACTTAGTATCAGTCTCTTTGACATTACAAACTGACTCAAGAAGAGAAAAAAGTAAAAACAGACTAACTCAACCCTAGCTAGCCACCCAATATTGAACTTGCGTCGTTTGTCCATCCGATCTTCGATTCCTAAAAAGTTAGTAGTAAAAGCAGTCCAAGAGAATCTATAGTGTTTGTCAATCATCAAAACATAAGCCATGAAACTAGATTTGCAACATTGCTGACCAAACAAACATGTCTATCTATGTTGATTATTGTAACTCTCACCATGTAATGCATTTGTAACATCAAGCCAAGGTTTTCTACCTAAGGACCTCATTTGTAATCGACTGCAAATATCAGGCCCCATGGTTTTTCCTTCTTTTTTAGGGGTTTCCACGTAAAAATTCTGGTCTCTTATGAATGCTACACCCTCTCACTTATCTAATTGTGTGTTGGATCTTCGTACAATGCTAAGACGCTAAACTTTATAATTCTCTACAGCCGCGAATACTCCAGGACGCAACAATAGTCTTTCTTATAGCCCTCAAAATATTTTAAATAAGATGTGATGGAGAACAATTTACAAGGAACTTATTTTGAGACCTTTTTCCAAATCTTTGGTTGAATTTTTGAATGATCAATGTGAAGATAAGAATGAATGCCAGAAGCATACATACATATTGATGCAAATCATCTCATATAGAACTCATATGAGAAGCGCGCTCCCAAAGTGAAATGTGTTCGTACCGTTGTGTACCGGGTGACGTGGCGCATTTTGGTTGGTCTCTGCACCGTCCGGTGTGCCCAAAGAATAATTTCTTTATCATATGATAGGCTTTAAGGCAATAAAGATGGAAAAGAATAATGTTAATCTAACCCGAAGTAAACGAAAATTGTGTTATATAAATAGAGTTCTGTGGTAATAGATGTATTTCTTGTTGTTATTCCGCATCAAGTAATAGTTAAATTATTAGGAAATTATACAAAATAAAAAATAAAAAATTCAGAAGTTTAAGACAAGCAATCAAGTGGGGTGCGAATGTGCGATCAATGTTATACATCGATTTGCTGTGATTTATTGCCATTTTAAATATCAACCTACTTGCGATTGATTGATTTATTAAAACAAAGGCTGTGCCGACACAGTTATTTTTAGTTGGTTACTTTTGCCAAATTTGAGTCATTTACACATTGACTGGAAGCAACTCATGGAACAACTTGACAAAGGAATCCAGCTTCTCCATCTCCATGGAACAACTAACCTTGACGCCGCCGTCGGGGTTTGACAAAATCAGGAACTGTCGCGGGCAGATGAGGCTCGCGGGTCCCATGAACTCCGGCGTGCCCCACCCAAAGTCCACCTCGTACAACGGCGGCCTATTCCAGCTTACCACCCATATATCCAAGCAAGAGTTCACCACCGTCACCATTTTCGACATCTTGAAGAAAAATGAAATGGAAAACTCAGATGAAGCATTTATTAACTTATTGTCTGGTTCTGTTTCATGAAATTTCTGAAAAGGTGAAATTAATTGAATTAAGTGCTAACGTGCCGGAGTTCCGACCATACACAACTCTCCTTGGCCTATTGGTTGAAAGCTTAGGCTTCCAACTAAGAGGTCCAAGGTTCGAGTCCATGTGTATGCGTTGTGTGTGTGAGTTTGCCTTAAATGGCCTAAATGTCCAAAAAAAAAAAAGAGTTCCGACCATATGTATATATATTTTTCTGATATCATTCTTTAAAGTTTAAATAGTGTCAATGAAATAGTGACAAACAGAGTACTTCGCGGACGAACTTCTTCATCGCTTGATGCTTCTTGGTGCTTCTTGGTGCCTTAAATGGCCTAAATATTCCACTGTCTATACGTCCTCGAAGCCTATCCTGTTCCCATCTTCGCGGACGAACTTCTTCATCGCTTGATGCTTCTTGGTGGAATGGATTGACGTTCTCTTCTTCTTCTTGCTTTCGTCCCTCCACCTCTTGTTCATCTCGTCGATTTAATTCTTGTTGCAACCTTTGAATCTCCCTTTGCAAGTCTTCAACCACCGTGTCATGTACTGGACGCTGGCGGTTCCTCCGCGGCGGCATTTTGCCGGCTCTGATATCAAGATGACACCGCCGGCTGTCGTCGCAAGGCGGATCACCGGTTGTCTGGAGCAATCACGCGGGCATCTGTTATCTTCCCTAACTTCGGATCTGCAAACAGATGACTAAGAAGCCAATGGAGGGAAAGAAAGAACAGGAATTCAAAAACAGAACAAAGTCTGAATATTCGAAAATCAATCCTCTCGTGTTTCGTACAATTCAGGTTATTTAAAGAGAACTAAGAAGAAAGCTAGATACATGGCTACACGAACTAAGCTACACCACAACCAACTAAACATCAGTAGCTCCTGCGTCACTACTTCCTATTCCCTATTAGAATTAATCGCGAATGTGCTGGAGTTCTGACCGCATGTATATATATTATATGGAGAGAAATCTCATCAATGATCATGATCTGGAATGGTATGGATCGGAAGTTGGGATGTCATAAGAATAATTAATGAATGAGAAACATATTCATCAAAGTTTATCGTAAAAACACAACTCTCCTTGGCCTATTGGTTGAGAGCTTAGGCTTCCAACTAAGAGGTCCAAGGTTCGAGTCTATGTGTATGCGTTGTGTGTGTGAGTTTGCCTTTATTGGCCTAAATGTCCAAAAAAAAAAAAGTTTATCGTAAAAAGGCAGAACAACGGTTTCAAACCTTGTAATTGAGATTATATAAATGAACTTGAAGAACTGAGTCTTTCATTAATATTCATAAGATATCTTTACAAGGTTGTAATGTCCATTATTAATATATTATTGTATTTTATGGCTGTGCTGCTTGAATATGTTTACACTATGTTATTTAAAGAGTGCATACATAACATTTAAAGTATATTTATTGAGCCATTTAGAATATTTTGATCATGTATGAAAAGGTTTAAAGGAGTCCCCAACAAAGAAAGATTTGATGATGCAAGTCGAAGGATGCATGAATGCTTGTATAGTACAAGTTGTAGACACTCCATTGGAGTAAAAGGCAAATGCAAATAAGATTTTTTGGTGTTGTGTTCATGAATGGACATAAAATGCTGATGATTGCCAATAAAATATGCATGCTGAGTTGATCAGGATCAAACGTTACTAGACAAGAGATTTCTTAAATATCGCGCGTTGGAAATCTCTTCAAATTAGGTTTCGGGAGGAGAATGGTCACCTTGTCAACTCTCATTTCATACAGATGCGATACCATGAGATGAAAATACACCGAGATGGTGGTCATCCACCACCAAATATTGATTGTAGTCACCTTGACATTGAGCATGTCATTTTATATCGTAGTTGATGTTCTAGATATGACCATGTCAATTTATATCATAGTTAGTGTTCGAGAAATGACCCGTTCATTATGTATTTTTATAAAGATCGATGAATGAGGTTTTACCTAATGGTCAGCCTAGACATAACATATTATTTAAATAATTTAATATTATTTGTTATGAAGCTTTATATTTAATATGTATATAACATACCATCTTAATAATAATTTTTATTTAAACATAATAATAATTAATCTAAATAATTATAATTTATTTATATTATTTTATGGAAATATAATTTTATTTTATAGTAAAATTGTAATTATAATTTACTAATATAACTTCATTCTTATTAACATAATTTTTTTATGTTCTTTTATATATTATATTTTTAATCAATATAATTAGTTTATTAATATTGTAATAATAATATCTATATATACATTATTTAAAATATACATAATATTTTTATATATAAAATATGTATAAATTTAATATATAATATCTTTAGTGTGTTGGATATCGATGATGCGATTATTTAATGACTCAATTTTCTTATTTAGCACTTATGTTTTGATAAAATTTGGGTTTTCTTAGTTATTTATTTCATTTTTTTAATTTATATTATTTTTATTTCATATTTTAATTATGTTACATTTAAATATTTATATATAATTAATAATATTAACATATATAATATTTAGATTTGAATTTAAATTTGAAACCTTTCATAAAAATGCTCACATAAGTTGTTATTTAAGTTTAATTAAATTATTAATTAATATAATATTGTATATTTTACATACATTACATTTAAATTACATATACAATATGTATAAACTTAAAATACTATTTCTATAGTATTTTTAATGAAATTTATAAAAGTATATTTAGTGGTTATTACCTTAAATCAAATATGATAATTTATATCTTATTATATCATTTCTATATTTATTAATATGCAACATAACTATTTTTGGATTTTTTTATTTTAAATCTGGTCAAATAATTTTTAACTGTAGCTTGAAATTTTTTTTTTTTTTTTTTTTTTTTTTTTTTTTTCATGCTGCATTTTTTTAAAGCTGCACCGCCTGCACGTGTGTCTTGCTTTAAATTTTATTTTATTTTTTTATGCAGTAGTGAAGGATATAGGTAATTGATTGGACAATAATTTAAATTTGCTTTTGGTGGTTGAGAGTTGAATATTATAAAAAATATATATCTGATAAATTTTTTAGTTGGATAAATATTATTAACTTTATTATATATTAAATTACATTTGTAATAGAAAGAAATGATCATAATAGATTAAAGTTTGATAGAAGATGGATAATGGTAGTAAGATCATTGTCGCATGACAAAGATAAGGTGATGATAATTAAGCGATCGTGATTGGACAAATCTTAGTTACGAGACAGAGGAGGTTTAATGATCATAATCAGACAATTGTAATATGACAATAATGTTAGGAGGACTGTAGCCAGATAACATTGATCAGAGGATTGTAAATGGGGTCAAGAGCCCAAACTCTAAAGATTGTGACTAGGGATTGTACTTGATAATGGTGGTTAGGAAATCAATTCGATGGTAGCGATCAGGCCGGCGGTGATCTAGCAGGTGGAGCATAGTGCTTTGAAATTGGTTAAACATCTAGACTCTCTTGTATCTCTAGCAAAGATCCAATCCATCTTTTATGTAGAGAGTGTAAGCCTATTTATAAATTTTAGGATTAATATGTTATATAAAATATAGCCAAAATTTAAAACAATTTATAGCATGACCCTATTGGTTTTGTTAATCATTATCTATTTTTCAATATTTAAATGCCATAATGATACATAACTAGAAGCTTTTGGGCTTGATAGATTTATTTCATCGAAAAGCTTTATTTATAATATGATTGTCATCAGAAAATCATAATATTTAAAAGCTAGTAGCCAACTGTTTACTCTGTAGGCAACCAAGTAGGCAAAAAAACAACAGAGCTCCTCCTACATCAAAATCTATGTCTTAATTCAAACTGAAGTCCTAACCAGCTATCAGCCTCCAGGTTAGGAAAAAGTAAGTTTCCACACAAGTCATAAACTGGCAAAAGGTTCTCATCCTTATTCATCTTAGACCTTCAAGGTCTATAATTATGAGAATTCATTAATAAAGGGATAAATTTTACGAAACTCGATCATCTGTCGATAACTCGACGGAGTCGACAAGGTTCATCTACAGAAAAGCAATTATTTTCAAATGAAAATGGCCCCGCACCTCGATGATGGCCGTGTTGAACATAAAATCTCAAACGAATGGGTTAATTTCAAATATCTTCAAAATGTCACTCAACTACTCCAAAATTCAAAATCCTAAAAATATTCAAAAATTGAAATTTAATCCATCAAATAACTTAACGAAAAATTCACCCACCATCCACAACAGTACGCCGAGATGGACAAATTGAAATATACTTCAGCTCAAATAATGAGCCAAATGCGTAGTCGAAAATATCACTATTATCCATTCTCAAATAATTTCATACCAATAAGGACGTGGTATGTGTCATATGATTGACGGTTTTGCTGCTAAATGATACCGCAAGATAAACGGTTATGACCCGGGGCCCTCTGAACCGAGTGGTACTTTTGCCGCCAAATAGCACCACGAAATACTGGTTATGACCAGAGCCAATACGTTCCTTTGTGGCATCAAATCCTTGAGATATGAATCACAAAGCCCTTTGTTAGCTAAGTTGGATTCAAATTTGTCTCCTTAGACAAACATTCACCACATGTCTATAAGGTCCCCTTGTACGAAGCAACCCATGACTACTGACAAATATCCTTCTGTCAGGTTGGGTCGATTACCTCCTCTGACTAAGTAGACCAGGGACCACGATGATCCTGGACGACGGAACCATGCGATCTTGATCGGGTCTATCATCCATTCCCCACCATCCACTTTAAGTGCAAGATGCATGGTGAAATTTTCAATTTTAAATATTATATTTCCAACCTTTCCAAACATTATTCTCATGCCGCTACTATATGCCAGATAACACGTATTCTCTATGTATCTGATTGACGACTAGCCTTCATCGAAAGTTCTCTCTCGTTATCGGGAGGGGTAATTAACTATAAGGGCTTGCGTCTATAGGAAACCAGAACTCGTATTATAATGTCCTCACAAAATGAGGGCGAAATATCTGGTTAATGCCTTATCTACAAGCCCATCTGCCTTCAAAAATTTACCCAGAACTTAATCCGTTAAAACTTCCCCCAAGAAAAGAAAAGCATACAGTCGAGCGGAGGCCGGGACCGAATTTTCGAAGCCCAAACACATTAATAAATTTTAACATAACGGAATAATTTAACATTAAAGGTTTAAGCAGTATTTATTTAATTTTTTTTTTATAAAAAAAATTACAAAAATGTTAATATTAATAATTTAACATTTAACTTATTTTTAAAATAAATGTGTCATTATTTGAAGATATGTATACATAAATAAATTAAAATATAAATCTTGCGGCTTTGATTCCTGATATAATCTAATAATAAAAAATTAAATGAATATTCCAACCATAACGTTCCTTAGCACAACTGTATTTAGGCTTCCTTTGATATGACTTTTTTAATGCTTATTGAATTAGTTTTTTAGTAAAAAATTTTGAGTTTGCCTACTCAAAAACTATTTTTATAAACAATAAAAAATCATTCCAAATAAAACCTTAATGTCAATTTGTTGAAAGATGTGCTGTCTTGCTTCGTTTTCTCAAAATTATAGGCAAACTGAAAATCCAGTCAATTAAATTCTTATAGAAGTCTTAGAATCACACTTAACAAATAATTTACATAATGAATGAACATATACTTTCATTAAATAAAATAATACAAAGAAATTTAAATAACTTCATGATGTGGAATCACTCTACCTATTTTGTGCTGCAGGAACAACATTTAGAGAATACCTTTTTTCTTTATCGTTAGGAGCTATAATCCCACTACAGCTATTACTACATATAGTACTAAAGTATACTAACATCTTTTTCTTTGCTCTTACTTTCTTAGTAGTTATCCCTCTTATATGAGGCGGATGAACTGAGCCTTGGCAGACACTTTTTGATATACAAAAATTATATTGCTAGCTTAGCATTTTACTGTTCCATTGGTTGCTCGTTCTCTGTTCTTTTCCCTGTTGTTTGCTTCCACAGCACTTCAAATCTCCCACAAAAATCCAAAGCAAATTTCTCTGATTGTTTGATCCAATACCCGCAACCGTCGCCAAATTATAAAGACGCATCATGGGCGGAAGATGAAATTTGTACGGTTTCTCAGAAAATCGGAACATCAAATTCCGTTTTCTATAGAAACCAGGGTCAACAAAGTAGTCCGATTTCTATAGAAATCGAACTTCCAAACTCCGATTTCATTAGAAATCGTATTTTCTTGTTCTGATGTCTATTAAAACCATAATTTTTTTCATATTATATCCTTTTTATATTATTTTTTTTCCATTTTTCTTATACTATATTTTGATAACAAAATGTGCTCCATTTTATAATTTGACCTTTTTTTTAGAAATTAATAGAAATTATATTAGCCCTACAATCATTAAAACATAATTGCTTTTAAACGCCGACTGATTTGTTCTTATTAATTTATTTTTTTTCGTGCTGCATTTTTTTAATGGTGCACTTGTGTCTTGCTTTATTTTTTATTATTATTATTTTTTTACAGTAGTGAAGGAGATAGGTAATTGATTGGATCAGAATTTAAATTTGCTTTTGGTGGTTGAGAGATATTGAATATTATAAAATATATATACCTAATAAAATTTTTAGTTGGATAAATATCATTAACTTTTTTATAGATTAAATTACATTTTTAATAGAAAGAAATAATCATAATTGGGTAAATGTTATTAGAGGATCGTAATGAGTAGATAATGGTAGCAAGATCATAGTCGCAATGTCGCATGATAGAGGTCAGGTGATGGTAATTAAGCGATCGTGGTTGGGTAAATCTTTGTCACTAGACGGTGGTTGAGCAGCCATAATCAGACAATTGTAATATACGACAATGTTAGTAGGATTGTAGCCATACAACATTGATCAGATGATTGTAAATTGGGTTAGGAGCCCAACTCTAGCGATCGTGGTTAGGGATTTTAGTTAGATAATAGTGATTAGGAAATCAGTTCGATGGTGGCGATCAGGCAGTGATCTAGCATGTGGAGCTTAGTAGTGCTCCGAAATTCGTCAAACATCTAGGCGGTGATCTAGCATGTGATTGGGCAAACCTCTTTAACTAAATCATTCTGATTTGCCAAATAAGAATCAGTCCGTCCGCTGCTGCTATATATGGACAAAATCAACCTGCAAGGAGCCATTAGATCAAACACATAAATACTTAGCAAAATCTTACCACTTGTGATTTCAATCTCAAGTGAGAAATTGCTAAAAGCTAATACATATCGTGAGATATATTCTTGAGGATCTGGGCATGTTCCTGAAGCAAAGCAACGAAAACATCCACTCCCCCATTCTCACATAATCTCGGAAGAAATATGACCAATCCATCCGTAGTCAGCCAAGTAGGCAAAAAAGCACACAGGGATCCTCCTCCGCCAAAATCTATGTCTTCAAACTGAAGTCCTAACCAGCTATCAGCCTCCAGGTTAGGAAAAAGTAAGTTTCCACACAAGTCATAAACTGGCACAAGGTTCTCCTCCTTATTCATCTCCCCAAAGTCTATGAACGACTGGAAATAACGGTTGTCGATCCTCCGAACCGTCTCCCGTATAATCGCCGCAGCCGTCTCCACTCCTCCATTGATCAACTCCCCTGCTTTTGACATCGGATATGCGTCGAGTACAAGGTTTCCGATGAACTCATTCGACACAGGCGGCCGTAGCCTCCGCCTGCCGTTCACAGGAACTCTTATCATAGTAGTCTCCCCTTTCCCAACTGCTCTTGCTATTGTGATTTTCCTCCAGATATGGCCAAGCAAAACTTCAAAAGTTGTGAACTTTTCTTTCACCCCTGCTTTCAGCTTTGAATTTATGAATTCATAGGAGTAGTGAATCAAAATATTGGATGTTGAATGAGGCTCAACAAATGATTGACTTAATAAGAAAGTATTATTGCAGTGTTTTGGAGGGATGAAATCTGCTCCCCAGTGTTCAAATTCAATTTTTGGAGGAAAACGTGGTTTGAGCCATGATAGATCATAGTTAGGGATTGGGTCTAGTGGAATGCCACGGGTGATCTTGCTCCAAGCAACAAAGAAGGTGCCCATTGAATGGCCGTCGGCGACTCGATGATGAGCGGTGATGCCGACAATGAGGCCGCCGCATCGAAACCGATTGAGCTGAACCTGGAGGAGATGGGAAGCACTAGTGGTGTTAGGGTGGAGGCGGGCAAGCTCTGGTGATGGTTGGAGCGGCATGTAGTCATCCAAATTGGAGTCCACTGTGGCTTCCACCAGTAGAGCTCCGCCTTCACTGCCACCGAGAATGACGCATGGGTTGTGAGGGTCGCCGCCAAGGCAGGCGGTGAGCCGTGGGAAGTGGAGGAGGAGTGTTCTCGATAGGGATTTTATGAGCTCAGAGTTTGATGGAGCCGGAGCGGAAAAGGCGAAAACAATAGCAACTTGCCGGCCGGGGGCGACGCGATCGAAAATTGTGAGAGGGAGCTCCAACGCCTCTGTGGTGGGTGGTGAAGTTGCAATGACGGTAGAGCGTTGGATTCGTACCTCCATTATTCAGCTCAGCGTTGGCTACAGTAATTACTCTCTCTTGCTTGCATGTCTTCTTCTTCTCTTATAGAGGGAGAGAGAGGAGGGAAAGGGATAACATTTTATAATAAAATCGTTTAAAATTTTCTTCCTTAAAAATTAACGGAATTATATAAGTAAATATTGCCGTCATTTATTATAATTTATTATAACTATTATAATATTTATAAATACTATTAATAAATTATTTACATAAATTTTTATAATATTTGTACTATTTTTTATAATTTTTAAAAATATTTACATAATATAATTAACTAAATGTTTATAAATAATTAAATATTGTCACATTTGCAACGAGATTCTTAGAAATAGTAGGTAATAAGAAAAAGAAAACTATAAGAGCTATGGAAGGTGTCAAGGGAAGTAAAAAATATCCTACTTCTTTAAATGGAGATAACATGATCTAAATGTACTATTAAATAATATTGTGACGTATACCTTAAAGAGACGACTATAACACAAATAATATTTTTGTATAAGTATGAAGGTTGTGATGGTTATACTGTAAGTAGAGTTGAGTTGTAAGATTGAAGGAGATAATTATAGCGCAAGCGAGGTAATGACACACACATAGAAGTACTGATGATTAGGAAACCAATGAAATTGCGGTATCAGACTTGAAAGATACGACCATAATGGAAGCGACATTGCAATGTAGGCGATCAAAATTACAACATAAGTAAGGTTGCAACATGAGTCTCCCATGAAGTTAGCAAAGCAACTTGATATGAAATTGGTAGTTTATGTTTTAAAAGATTAATTGTGATGAGAAATATTTTTATGTTCAAAATTTGAACAATATCTATGAATAAATTTATATTGAACACCATCATTTAAAGCAGTACGTCCTCTCTATTATTCAATCATGCATGTGCTGCATGAATCTTTATTTTTTTTTTACAACAACTGTTGGCTTTAAAAATTTCCCAAAAAAAAAAACTGCTGGCTTTAAGTGCAGCTTTTAATAGCTGCAGAGCATTGTCCCTTTTTCGATTTCATTCCTACTGCAAATGTTTTTGGCCAATCCTGCATTTAGCCATTTAGTGGGAATGACGAGTATCTTGTCATTTTGCTTGACTAATGTACTCATTTTATGCGGATATCGGATCATCCGGAGGCTAATCAAAGCACGTCATGTCATCTGATACATAGCAGATATATAGCCACGGTACACGATAAAAAAGTTATGTGGAGTGCTCTGATTCACTTCCGGAAGGTGTCAGAATCTGTACAGAATAATTTCATCAGTCCGATCGGTACATATTAATACAAAATTATATTAGCCCTACAATCATTAAAAATAATTGCATTTAAACGCCACTGTTTTGGTTTTTTTTTTTTTCATGCTGCAATTTTTTTAATGTTGCACGTGTTTGTGTCTCTTGCTTTAAATTCTATTTTGTTTTATTTTATTTTAATTTTTAGGGTGTAGTGATAGGTGATTTATTAGACCGGAATTTAAATTTTCTTTGGGTGGTTGGGAGATATCGTAAAAAGAAGTTACTTTGAATAGTTACTTTAAAATATGATGATTGAATAGTAGAAATGAAAGAATATGGTAATATATAATTAAGGAAAATTATTGTGATTATTAAAAAAAAAAAGAGCAAATTTGTAATGCCAACTAACTTATTAAGTTTCGAATGCACCAAAATATTTGATATATTCAAATTGAAACACAGAGAGAGAAACTAATTTAAAAGAAGCAAGACAGGGATGATGAGATATTTAAATAATTTTTTATATTTAAAATAATATTTAATTAATACTGTTGTGGACTAGAATATACGCGGCGATAGAGTTTTAATTGTTCGTCTTAGCGTTATACGGATATCCAGTTCACACACAGAGAACACAAGATTTTTTGCGTGGAAAACCCTTAAAAGGGGAAAAACCACGGGGCCTAGCCCAATTAAAATGTCATATTCTCTTTTTAGTTTCTTGCTTATCCCTTTGTTTTTTTTTATATCCATATTAACATTTAATATTATCAATATTTTAATTGCTATAGTTTCTTTTGATGATCCATTGATTACTTTACAGAAAGCACATTAGTTATGGCAATATTTGCATAACAAATATCAATTATGTCATACCAATAGGCTATGCTAAAGCCTCTGTGGCTGGTTATTCTATAATTTATTTGATGTATATTGTTTTTACTATTCTCATTTTTAATTTTAGTTTTATTTTTGTTTTTTTTTTCTCTTTGGATATATTATAATACATAACAGATTCAACTGAATAGAATTTATCTGAGCCTTAATTGAAGGAGCCTTATTAATTTAGAGGGTTGCAATAGAAGTAGTTAACGCTTCCATCTCCTTTATCATCCAAGCTATTTATTTATCTTTCTAACTTAACTAATCTAAAAGACCGCAAGTCAAATTAGAAACATACTCTTCATTATCACCATTTTCTTCTTCGCTATTCTCACTCTTTCTCATATTCATTTTCATTTTCTTCTTATATTTTTATATAGATACACTCTCAGCGATTTCTTTATCTTACAAACTTTTTTCCACATTCTTTATAGCCTCTTATTCTTCATTTATCTAATACTCTCCATTAAGTGATCCATCATCTCTTTCATGGATTTCCATACTACATTGTGATGATCTACAGG